GGTTCTTCATTTCCACGTTTCTCAGGCACGGCGTCTTTTGGCTCGGTCGACAGGTTACGAACTTGTTGTTCCTCTCTTTGGCCATGATCTCCTTTGTAGCGTGCTAGCCTGTTGAAATGGACTATCTTTGGTTTGCCGTTTGGTTGCCTCTTAATCCGGTAGATGACGTCATTTAAACGGGAAATAACTTCATAGGGTCCTTCCCATGAGTTCTGGAGTTTAGGTGAATAACCACGACGCCTTCGAGGATTATGTAGCCACACGAGATCACCAGGTGTGAACCCTCCTTTCTCGGCCTTCACGTCGTACCTTTCCTTCATCCTGTCACTTTCTCCAGATATGTTGCGACGTACTTTCTCGTCCATCATCTTCCCGTTCTTTGACAAGGGAGCCACATCCTGCCACGATGATCTTCCTTTATTGTCCATCTTCCACTGCATAATGCGCCTTAGGTCTGGGTCCCCCTTCCGGTCCTCTGAAAGCTTCTTCTCGTCCTTTTCGTCGTTAATGACGATCACACGACGAACCGATGCACTGTAGTCTTCCTTGCGCGCACAATGATTGCCACTGTTTCCACATTGTCTTCTGAAGAGTGCATCCGCCTTCTTATGGCCCGGCCCAGTGCGATGATTTGACTCGAAGTCATACTCCTGCTTCGATCCTGGAGGGATTGACTGAGGCTTAGTCCGGGGACGCCCCATCTCTCCGCAGTTCCAACAGCGTGCCTGCCGGTGACGATTTTTGAGTGCCTCCAGAACTCTCTCTACCAGGTCCTCGATGTCCAGTGGAGTTGTAGGTTCTGCGTCTGCCACACGGACTCGAGCCTGACCTCTCACCGACTGCCGTACAGCCTCGAACTCCAGTGCCTGTGTCAGTGCGTCACTCCGTGTCTTTGGTCTGGCGAGTTTCACTGCCTGTTGAGTCTCCGGTTCCCGTAGTCCGTCTAGGAATTTATCCACTGCCAAGCTCTCGTAGACATCATCCGTGACTGAGGGATAGGCGTTTCTCACCAGGCGAGCAATGTCGGCTTCGAACTCCTGGAGTGACTCGCTGGGCTTCTGGATCCGGTTCCGCAGCTGTGATCGGTAGAGCTGGTCCATATGTCGATGTCCAAAGCGCATGTCCAATTTTCTTACTAATCCTGCGAAATTCTTCCGCTCTGCCATTGGCATAGCATGCAGAACTGCTAACGCATCGCCCCGCAGTGCAAGACACAGCGTCGAAGCCTTTGTTTCCTCGGTCCACCCATGGACCATAGCCGCTGTCTCGAAGAGAAGCATGTAGTCCTCCCAGGGGGTTTTGCCATCGAAGTGAGGAACGATGTTCTGAGGGGCAACGGCAGCAATGGTGGGCGCTGGCTTGGAGATCGTATCTAGGGCGTTATCCTGCTGAAGTTCGCCAGTGCTAGCCGATGACGCAGGTGTGAAGCTCCCCGATGCAGCCATTTCCTGCCTAAGCTTAACTAACCTATTCTCTAGATTTTTTTCTATACAATTAAATTTCTCATCTATTTCATTCATCCTACTTTCTAAATCATCAACTTTGCTAGAATACTCATCTAACTTCTTTGTTTGAAGTTCATTGTTGGTGATGGTGAGTTAATGTTGTTCAAAGGTTTATTGCGGACATTTTCCATCACGAATGTAAAAAAACAATACACAACGTTTCGGGATCTGGAATCTGATCCCGTCTTCAGGTGAAAAAACTTAACTAACACATTACAACTAACAATACACAAACGCCCAACCTAAGTTGGAATACACTACCGAGGGTAGTAGTCAAAAAATATGCACTGTATAGCAGTCAAGTCATGATACAACATGCAATTAATAACAAAACACTATAATCTATAAAAGGTTTACGTACAAAAAACTCACACAATGGAACACTAACAACACCGTACGCTATGACTCCACCAATGAGACTGAACCAACATGGCTGACCAATCGGAAACACGGAGACAACAGAAATGGCTTCCGGTCCCTGGAAAAGTAAAACCAACAAAATGGCGGAGCGATGTACGATGCCGCAAGATGGGTGTTAATTATGTTTATTCATATCACGAGTTTTACTACGAGTTAACATAACGTGCGAATTTTGAGGAGAACTCGTTATTTCCCTATTTATTGAACAATTAAGTTCCCTATCCTTTAGTTCCTTGTTCAAAATGGGTAGCCAAAGTGGCCTTATTTCAACCGATGACTGACTGATTGGTTGGTCTGCTAATTTAATGTATGAGGCTTCAATGAGTTTACGTTTGAAAAAATGAGGTTCCTTATGGACAATTTTTGCCTCTTCAAAATTCATACGATGATTTTCGGACCAGCAATGATGAGCGATCTTAGATTTTTCCACTAAACCTTTTTTGGTGTTTTCTCTGTGTTCTTTGATTCTAATGTTCAACGGTCTTTTTGTCTCGCCATAGTAAGGCCTGGAACAATCATTGCAATTTATTCTGTAAACACAGTTTTTAGTATCCTGAGTGTCATTTTTGGGTTTTGTTTTGACGAGACTCTGCCTAAGTGTGTTTTGTGTCCTAAATGCTGTTTGCACATTAAATTTCCTAGCAACCCTTCTGATTTTTTCCGACAGTCCTGACACATACGGGATTGACATGTGGACGAGTTTTTCCTTGCGATTTTGTAAAGGTTCACGCGTAGCCCTATCTTTCTTGCATTTGTTTATAATGGATCGAGGGTATCCGTTACTAGCCAAATCCTGTTCTACTTTCTTAATTTCATCCTTTAACTCATCCTGATTGGAGCAAATGCTCTTAGCCCTGTCAAACAGAGAGTAAGCAACCCCCTCCTTGACAGAAATTTGGTGGTTTGATTGAAAGTTTAGATACTGCCCTGTGTGTGTCTTTTTTCTATAAACAGATGTTCTAAGACTGTTCAAATGCTTTTCTACGCACACGTCCAAAAAGGGGAGTTTGTTTTGTGATTCCACCTCCATGGTTAGTTTTATGGAGGATGAAACGCTATTAAGATGCTCTAAAAACTCATTCAATTTATCATCTCCATGAGGGAAAACCACGAAAGTGTCATCGACATATCTCCACCATATCCTCGGTTTGAGCCGAGCTGAAGCCAAAGCTTTTTGCTCAAACTCCTCCATAAAGATGTTGGCAAAGATAGGTGACAATGGTGACCCCATGGCCATACCCTCATCTTGACGGTATAATTTACCCTCTAATTGGAAATAGTTACATTGAGTACACAACTCCAAAAGTTCCATTATGACGTTAACAGGGAGTTTAGTTCTGTTTGCTAAAGTATCGTCGTTTGTGAGACGGGTCTCAATTATTTTTAGGGTTTCCGAAACGGGGACATTCGTAAACAGACTTTCAACATCGAAGCTGACCAGCTTGTCAGTATCAGCCAGTACGATAGATTTAGACTTTTCTACAAAATCTTTGGAGTTTTTGATAAACGAATCAGTGTTTCCTACTAAAGGCTTTAAAATGTCCAGAAGGACTTTAGACAATTCCCTACAAGCAGAATCACGGGAGCTAACTATTGGTCTCAGAGGAACGTTAGGTTTGTGGATCTTAGGTAACCCGTACATGTGTGGAATTTTGGAATGGTGTGGTGTCAACCGAGTCCTTTGTTTGTCGCTAAAAAACTTTTTGTGTTTTCTTAGAGTACTAGCGATTTTACGCTCGAAAGTTTCTGTGGGGTCTTTTTTCAATTGGGTGTATTGGCCAGATTGCAAAGTTTCTAACATTTTTTCTTCGTATGTCACAGTATCAAGAACTACCGTGGCATTCCCTTTATCCGCGGGCAAAATCTTTACAGTACCGTCTTTCCCAAGGACTGATACTGCTTTGGTTTCCTCTTTACTAAGATTAGGTTTAGGAGTAGGAATTTTCTTTAGTAAAATACTAGCTTCACAACGGAACTGATCCCCCTGAGACTCAGGTAACTGAGAAACAGCAGACTCAATCCCTGTCACAAAATCCAGCGTTTTAACTGATTTAGGAACAACGGAAAAATTTAGCCCTCTGCTCAAAACAGAAATCTCAACTGGGTTTAGAACTTTAGAAGACAGATTCACAACTTGGTTTTTTGCATCATCACACTGTGAAATTTGAGTATTCCTATCAATGTTATCGGGAGGTCTGAGATGTTGTAGTTTAGCCTTTTGCCTAGCCTTCACATTTTCCGATTCTTTGTTGAACCTATTTTGTATGCTTTGAAAAATGTTTTGAAAATCAGAACCTATTATTAGTGCCAATTCAGCTTTTGTGTTCTCAATAGAGCTTTTCAGAAGTCTTTTTTCTAAACGGTGGTGTTCAATTCTTTCATTGATTAGAGATTTAGAAGCTAAAGACATTATTTTGCTGGCTTTGAAACTTTTGTAAGGAGGCTTTAGGTAAAAACCTTTAGGTATCAAATTTTCACGTTTGCATTTCACAAGAAAGGTCAAATGGTTTGTGTGATTAGCCAATTTTAAATGCATTTGTTCCAATTCACTTATTTGATTACTCACTCCGGGTCCGTACCGAGAATCAATTCTTTGTTTGAAGTTCATTGTTG